TTAATGCCTTCCACCTTTGCCCCTGTGCCTTGCACGTACCTATATATCTTCATCATGTTCAATTTCTTACTTTTTCTTACACTGTTATTTTTTAAAAAAAGACCTACCACAAATTCTTTTCCACAAAAGTCCTCCTCGTATCTAATCCCACCACGCTCTGTCCTTCTTTCCTCCACACTTCCGTTCCCTTTCCTATTCAACTCTGTGTTTCGCCACGTGCTCTTCACACCTATTCTTTCTTCAGACTTCTGTAAATTATATTTTTCATTATCATTAAGGATTCTCGAATCTATAACACTAGGTTTGTTTCCCTGTATATCTTTACCCTTTTCAGCTTTTCTCTGCTGTTCTTCTAAGATTTCTTCACACTTATCGCAATCTTATCGCTTTCTCTTACCCACGCCGTCAAAATGGACGATTTCCGCGTCCTTTTTCAGTATTTCCATTTTCGCACACTCTTCTTCCAGCGGCGCCACCGTCTCCAGTTTTACCAACTGTTTCCGTTCCTCTCCTGTATTCCCTATTTCCACTGATTCCGCCTTTTCTTCTCTCTGCCATTCTTCTCCCCCCTTTGTAATTCCACTTTCCTCTTCACTATCCTCTGATTTCGACTCCTTTTTCTCCTTTTTCCTCAACTCTTCTTCTTCACTGCTTACATCTCTCACCCTCTTTCTTTCTCCTATATTTCTCTTTGTCAATTTTCTTTCCTTGTTTTCCTCATCTAAGACTCTATCTTTCTCACTCACACAATCTTCTACTTCCTCTCTGTCCATTTCCTCAATTTTCTTATTGCACAGCCCCAATGTAGCTAAAACCTCCTCTTCATCCTCTTTTAGGAATTCCATATCCCAGTTCTCCAATTTTTCTACATCTTCCACCAACACTTTTTCATTTTTCTCACATATAACTTTTATATCACAGACCTCCTTTGTCATTTTTCCTTCATTTTCCCCCATTTTATCTTCAATATTATCTACTTTCATTTCTTCCATCGTACTATTTCCTGCGCCTCTAGGGCCACCAAAAATTATTACCTTTACTTCCTCCTCACTTATACACTTATTTTTTAGCGTCCAGTCGCGCACAACAAAAAACTTTATCCCCCGCCTACCACGTGGGTATACGGGGGAGATGATAAACCTCCAAATTTCTCCTCTCCCCACTTCCTATTCCAAACTTAATTAAACAAAACTTCACCCCTTCCTCCACTCCTTTCTCTGTGACTTATATAACTAATAAGAAAACTTTAAATCCAAAAAAAACTTCTAAAATTATCAGCGCTCGGCAAAACCCGTCCTACCTAACCGACGCCATCTTTTCTTTTTCCGTTTATAATGTTAAAAATATATAGTTACATATTTAGGCAGGAAAAAGCTGTAATAACCGTAAAACTCTGTAACAAACGAAAAATAACAACACAGTATTATTTTCTTTAGTGGAACTTTTCTTAGTAATGTAACGCGAGCGTACTTGTTATCATCCTGAATATAGTCAGTATAGTATGGCGACACGACCGTGAGAATATTTACAGAGCGCATCTGTACTTTGTTATATCGATGACCATAAATTAAGAGCGAAATTTAAACTATCTGAGCGTGCGATCATGTACAATAGACAAAGCTTATATTGTTAAAGCCACTCGACGTGGGTGTTCGTGCTAGGAAAAGTTTGGGAATCCAGAGAATAAACATAGCTTCATTCTGAATGTTTGTAGAGATTAATTTATTAGGG